TAGTAATAGGTCTTTCAAAATAAAATCTAGCTATACAGTAACGATATTTAAGTATGAATATTAGCTGGGTAGTTGACCCTCTTAGTCCATTATTGCTAAAATTAGGGTATAATTTGTCTTTATTTCAAATATGATTTTTCCCGCTTAATGGATCACTATTTGTTACTAATGGGAAAGTATCTTTCATCTTAAATTAAAAATTAAGGTGATTTGGTTTGCACCAATTGAGAAAGCATAAATTTTATACACAATTGAATTATATATATACAATTCTTATTAATAGAATAGCTTTTATAATTTTAGTATATGATTTAAATGAGTCACACATACGCTCTAGTACATGTTCCTCGGCATTGAGGGCATCCCCGAAGAGCGGGAGATTTTGTTACAGTCTGGATTGGCTGTCTTGTGTTTCTAATAAGTTGGTTTATAGTTGGCATGGTGAGTCAAATACATAATGAGATGGTTTAGATCAATCCTAACCTGATAATTTAGAATTTATTAGACTATATAAGATCTGGTTGTTAAGACGATTAAAAAGATAAAAGACAACAAATCATGCATTTAGGACATTAGGATTTTTAGGAATAGGAAGGACAGAAATAGTAGAAAGAAATATTCCTAAGAAAATGAAAATAGAAACCTAATAAATAGAATCTTAATAAATAAGACATAAATCTTTGGAAATTACATTTTTCATTTATTAGGATCAAAAAGGGAATAAAGATTTTATGCAAATTTTGGATTTGCAAAGAATCCTCTACTGTATCAATCATTTTGTAGGCTTGGGCTTCTACTGCTGACATATAAAAATCCATTTCCATGTCTTTAGATATTTTTCAGGAAGGTTTTCCTGTTCTTTGGGAATAAATATTTATCATAGTTTTTTGCATTTTCAGTACTTCATTCGCTTCCAGCACAGATTCTCCCATTTGTGCCTCATAAGAAGAAGTAGCAAGTTGATGGATCATTACCCTAAGAGTATAATATAATAAGGTTTCTTTCTCTTAATCTTACCATTAAAAAGAAGAAGGGATATAAAAAATAATTCAATTTATTTAAAGCCGTACAGGAAAGCATATTTTTATTTTTATTTTTTATATAGCATACGACTCTACTTTCAATTTTTCATTTTTTTACCTTTCATTGAAGAAATACAAAAAAATATCGGGTCTATCAGACCCAAATCAGTAAAGAATCAAATAACCACCCTTTTTTTTTAGAATCTTTTTTAAAGACTATGATGATTCTGTTGCTATCTTATTTCTTCTAGTTTTTGATATTGTAATCCCAATGTTTCTTTTTTTTTTCAAATAAGTAAAAAAAATTGTAACATTAAAAGAGGCTCTGATAGATCACATAAAATAGTAAATATCCCTTTTTAATACTACTATTTTGATATATAATCTATTGGTTTTGAAAAAAAAATGTTTTTGCATATCGAACTCAAAGTGTCATGCTTTTTTAACTTAATACTGGCGTAGACATAGTCTTCTTTTTTTTCTACAAATAAGAATCATTGGAGCCAAGCGTGAGGGAATGCTAGACATTTGGTAATTTCTTCTCCTACCAAAAGAAGAGATCCCATTGAAGCGGCTAATCCTACGCATATTGTTTGTACTTTTGCTTCTACAAATTTCATAGTAACAAGAATTGCCATTCTAGATATAACCCCTATTCCTGGAGAGTTTATAAACATATACAAATCTTTGTTCTTGTTCTCTAAACTTAGGTATACCATTAGACCGACAAGTGGATTTGATATTTCACTAGTAACCACTTGACATAAAAAAGTAGTCTTCCGTGAAAAAGTGGATAGTATAAGTCAACCCAAGAAGCTTCATCCTCGCCGGGAACTAAAAAGGGCACCTTTGGAACACCTACCGACATAAATTGGAAATTGTCGACTGGATTTTGCTTTTGTGTGAGAACATACAGAGACAAAATGAGTTGATTTTATTCAAAAGAATTTTTATTTCGCCAAATAACAAAGAATAAGAAGACTAAATGAATAAAGGAAAGTTTTAATGAATAGGTCGTTCTTGGATATGTCTCTACTGCTATTCTTGTTACATGTTACTGGATGACTAATGAATTGAATTCTTTAAAATGAAATGAAAGAGGGGATTCTAACAAAAAGGATCTCCGACAACCAAAAAAAGTATGTTTCTATATTTCCTATCGAATTGAATTCTAGAAATATTCTTCTTTGCTTCATGAATTATATTATTATAAACCAATTAATCCTAATCACATTTTCATTGATCCTCAATTTATATTCCGAAGCTAATAATAAATGTAAAGAACCCTCATCTTAGATTATAGTCTTAAACTTTGAGGAGTTTTCGATTTAGTACATCGAAACAAACAACCAGGAAAAAAATAAATTTTATTTTGTAGTACTTGATCTCGTCACTTATTGTGAAATTTCATTGTTGTGTTAGAAGAAGGAAAGCTATACTGATTTGGTATACTCGAACGAGACCCTTGGTACATAATTGACGATTGTAACAAAGACTTAATATTAGTAAATTTCTACTAACTGGTCTTATCTTTTATGGAATTGATCCCCCTTTTACTGCATAAGAACATATGGAGCTCTGCATGTATGGAAGCACATGAGAACATTCTTTTACTCATATTATTACCAGTATTCAATACTGGATTATTCACAACATTACTATACCCTCCATATTCATTCAGGGTTGGTTATTTGTCAGCACATGTTTAGCTTACGATGTATTTGGAAGCCCCCGTCAAAACGAGTATTTTACAGAAAACCGACAAGGAATTCCTTTAATAACTGGCCATTTTTATTCTTTGGAACAACTCGATGAATTTAGTAGATATTTTTAGGAGGCTCCAATGACCATAGATAAGACCTATCCCATTTTTACAGTATGATGGTTGGCTGCTCACAAACTAGTAGTATCTACCGTTTCTTTTTTGGGATCAATACCAGCAATGTAGTTCATCCAACGATAAAGCTAATTCAAATTATAGAGCTACGACACAATCAAACCCAAATGAAAAAAATGTTAAATTCAATTGTACCAGTCTATACTGAGGTTTATTGCTCATTTTTGTACTTGCTGTTTTATTTTCAAATTATTTTTTCAATTAATAGAAGAAAAGAGTGTATATATATATATATATATATATATATATATATATATATATATATATATATATATATATATATATATATATATATATATATATATATATATATATATATATATATATATATATATATATATATATATATATATATATATATATATTAGGAATTCTCTTATCTCATTCGTAAGGATATCATTTCATAATCATCTATGATTGTTTAGGTCTCTAGTATGACTGACTACTTGATCAAATGTGGAGGAAAGTGGGATAAATGGCCGATACCACTGAAAGATTCCTCTTTGGATGATAAATATTGTAGTTGGTATTGTTGTGATCAGTTTAATTGGTATTTTCTTTTATGGTTCACATTCCGGATTGGGATCATCTCTGTAATAATCAAATGCATTTAGTTTTCAAAATGAAAGCATAAGAACTCAACAGGGATCCACTCTTTCTTTGATGAATTCGAGGGGTCCCGTTGAGTTCTTCATAATCAGAATATTTTTGTAAGTGACTCAATAGATAACTTTATTGTATGTTTCAAAAAATTACATTTCCTTTTTTTAGGATCTTAATGCAAAATGAACTTCATTAATTGGTTCAAAACATTTTTTCTGGATCATATCTGTCGAGACTTTTTCTTTCAAGTTGAAAGAAAAATAAAAGAAAGAAACAATCAGTTGATTTATTTTTTTGGGGTAGCCCAATAATATTTAATAATTTTATTATGTATGAATAGGGAACTATATACTATATACTATATTTAACATAAAAAAGATTCTGTAGAACCAAACCTTTTTTATACTAACAGGATCTTACTAGAAATATATTTCTAATATAGACTCATGATTAAATTCTTCTTTTGAAGTGAATTAAGAAAGTTGTATTTGCTGAAGTTAATTCCCGGTCTTTTTTGTTTGTCTATTCCTTCACTATGTATCGATTTCGATATAAACAAGAAGGAATCAAACTCTAGGAAAAGATAAATTATCCATCCCAGAATCCTGTTTTCCCTTTTTCTACTTTACTTAATATTCTCCACCTACCTATTTTTTTAGGTTTAGTATCGAGTCGAATTTAATTTTATTACAATATAAATTCTAATATTTCTATTTTAGGACATGAAAATGTGAAAACAACGACATAATCACATGGTTCGAATTAATTGTTCAGATGAAAAAAAAAACAAGAACCAAAGATCTTTACACAGAATTTATCAACAAAAATGGAGTTCTTTTTACCCGCTTAATATGTTGATAAATTGATATTCCTAAAATTCATTTCAGACAATTGAACCTTCTTAAATTGTTTCTTTTTAAGAACCAAAAAAATTTGTGCCAAAATAATAGATGCCAAGAAGAGTAAGAGACCTTGGACACGTAACGGATCTTGAAGCACTATTTCTGCATCCCCTGACCAAATCCACCCATATTAGGATTACTCGTTAATGGTTGATCAAGTTTGATAGATTCACCCTCTGAGATAAGAATTTATGGTCCTGGAGGTATAATATCATACCTTCATGTCCATCTGATGAATCTACTATCATTATTTCGTATCCACCTTTTTCTTTTTATATTATTTTGTTTACTACATCCGTTGTTGTAGCATTATAAACATTATTATTACTCTTGCTTCCATCGCGATAAATCTGACCCCTTCCCCTGTTCCCGCCTACGTATATAGGATATTTTAAGAAGTAAACATCTCTCTTAGTAGCAGTATGTGGAGAAAGAATAGGAAAGGTAATTTCACTATATTTTTTCCAAGAACGGGGCCTATCACAAGAATATTTTTTTGTAGGACGATAGCTTTGTAAAGACAAATTACTTATCTTTTCTTTAATCTCGGGCAAAAGACGATCAGGAGGGGCCAATTTAAAACCCTCTGGTAAAATAAGAACAACTTCTACATTCAAAGCTCCCTTTTTTACCATTAGCAAGAACTTGTTTCACTTGCATGTCGTAAGGAATTCGAACAACTGTGTTGAATACTGTATCAGGAAGTATCACTTGTGGAACCTTAATATCTACAGGCTTATTAGCTAAATGGAAGTTAGCACAAACAATCCGACCGATAGCTTCTCGAGGATTTTCATAACCTTGTTGGGCAAAAATAGGATATACATTTGAAATGGGTGCTCGAGTTATTATATATATCATTAGAAATACCGAAATGGATCGGGTAATCTCTTTCTGTATCAAAGAAAAAGCATTTATAGTTTTCATGGTCCAATCACTGATCCTGAAAATTTCTATAATAAGATTAGGTAGGTTACTGGAACAGTTCCCTATCCATGATTCTGCTATTTACTCCAATTATTTTCCTATAATATAGGAAGAATACGAGTAAAACAAAAACGAATAAGTTCAATTTTAAATGTTTAGCTTTTATACACAAAAAAAACAAATTTTAGAATTGGATTAGTGGGTCATTTATTCATTGAATGATAAATGACTACAAGCAACGGAGATACACGATTTAAATAATGGAAAATCCAGTATTTTAAAATAGTATCTAAAATGACTGGAAAAGTCAAAACAAGACCAGATAGAATCTGATCGTCCGGAGTAAATCCAAAATCTTTATAGACAAACTCAATCATTAGTTCCCAACCCTGAGTCGAATGGAATCCTATACAAAAATCAGTTAATAAAAGAATAGAAAAAGCTTTTATTGTGTCACTTAAGTTATAAAGAAATTCTTGAACCCAAGAGTTAAGAATAATGAGTTCTTGATAACCCCTAATAGAATACCCACTTAGAATAAGGAAACATATTATATTTGTATACAAATAAAAAATCATATGGATACGACCTAGGTTATTCGTCTCGATCAATTGGATGGTATCTTTGTAGATTTTGATACGAAAGTTTTGTAAATGTGTTTCTGAGTATTCCTTTAGCATTTCAACCAAGAGGAACAGTTCCTCAAATTCTAGGAATTTCTTTAAAATACTTTTTCTTGAATTGTATTCAAGAAAATTTCAGATTCTTTCATATTCCACCAATTAGTAATCCAAGATTCCATACTTTTCGAAAATGTAAAAGAGATGCACCCTGGCAAAAAGACTATAGATGTAAGACATAAAAGGGGAATACATGCTTTCTTTTTTACCATTTTTCGTCTTTAATGAACTCAGTTTCATCTCATTTTTCAACTATATATATATATATATATATATATATATATATATATATATATATATATATATATATATATATATATATATATATATATATATATATATATATATATATATATATATATATATATATATATATATATATATATATATATATATATATATAATCTTTCTATCAAGCATAAGTTTTATTACAAGTAAATACAAGTAATAGAGTTTAGCCTATAATATATCAATTTATAATTTTTTCATATAAATTGAGAAGCTATTGTTTTTATTTGTAATTCGGAGATTAGTTTATTTTTCTTTAAATTTGAAAAAATAATCCAAAATAATACATAAATCAAATAAGAAAAATAAATAAGCCATTTCCAATTTAATTGAAGAAGAAAAAAAGTGTTTCAAAAGCTATGAATTAAAAAGGAAATTGTTTGGATACAGCGATTTCCATTGGTATACTCAAGAATATCGAACGATTTCCATTGGTACACTCAAGAATCTGAACAAGTCCCAAGCTTTTTGTATAATATTGCATGGAGTCCTATCATCAATAGGAGTCAAGGGAATGACCCTCTGTTCTATGGTTTTCATATAAAGGACACCACTATTAGGTTCTGAGTTAGCTTGTAGTATGAGGGACTGAATATCTTCCATACGAACTCGGAGAAAAATACGATGATATGTTCCAGGAAATCCGTAATGAAAAAAACATACCATTTGACTTTTTTTATCAAAAAAATTATAGCCACTCCCCACATTCCAAAAAATTAGAAGACACCAATGTAAACTTAGAAAGAGACTCACAATTCCATAGAAAGTCAGCGTGACTCCTTGTGGCAAAAAACGAATGACAAATTTGGACGAAATGAAAGAGAAAAAATCCCTCCCATAATAACTGGAAACTGAAATATATAAAACCCCTAATGAACCTAAAGAGTGAAAGACCCCAGAAAAAATTGATAATTTTTTGGGACCCCGGTACAATGTCAAGCCATGCATCTTGTGAACGACAACCAAGTTTTTTTGACACCCAACTAATGAATTTTGGAACATGAACAAATAAAGCAGACATTACAGTTAATACAAGACCCACTAAAAACACATAAACATTTATCATAAAATGGGTGACTCAATTTCATATTTGTACTTGTTATTTTTTGTTGATTGTTAGATTAATATTTATGTTGTTATATTAAAACTTTCTTATCTTATTAAGGCTTATATAATATTAGTACTTGTTTTATTGAAGGAAATAGTTATTCCAAAATGGAACAAAATAACAAATCCAAACTAAAAAATTTAACCCTATTTTCAAAAATATATGAAACTTGTGGTATCTAAAAAATCTTGTTTTTTTGAACACGAAGAAATAAAGAAGTCATTGTAACTGTCGGGAATACTAGGCCTACTAAAGGAAAAAAAAGGGACGGTAAGTTTATCATAAAATGGGGTACCTCAATTTCATATTTATACCTGTTGTTTTTTGTTGATTTTTAGATTAATATTTAGATTCTTCTTATATTGAAATAAAGATAGTCTATAATCACGAGAATTCATATAGACTTATACTAACACTATTTTTTAAATTCTACTACATAGAGCTAAATAAATATATATATATATATATATATATATATATATATATATATATATATATATATATATATATATATATATATATATATATATATATATATATATATATATATTCTATAAGGAGTATAAAAGAGAATAAACCCATAATAAAAAAAATGGAATAAGATTTATTAAGAATCAAAATCTTTAATTTTAATATTTAATTAAATATAAATATAAAGAATGTCGAACAAAATAACTGGATTTATTTTGCTGTCTATTTCTACAAGAAATATGTCCATGATAATTAATCTTTATTTTTTATTTTTATCTGATTACCTTACTCTTGTGTGTTCTCATTTTCTTTTTAGATCATTTTTATATAATAATAATAATATTTCTTTATGATATTAATTTTATGATATTAATGAAAAGTTAAAAATTGAAAAACATAAATAAAATGACAGTCTGCATTAGTTTTCATTTCAATCCGAGGAAAGCAACCATGGAACTTGTAACATCCCTATTCTATTAATATATATATATATATAAAGTGGAATGGTTAGAAACTAACTAAGTGGCATGAGAGTAAATACCATTTAGTTAAGGGGAAATTTAGGTATAGAGGAGAATATAACTGTAATACGGTGGGAGAACTGACTTGGTGTTTTACGTTTTATCTCAAATGTTGCGGATAACAAGAGTCACCACTGACTTTTTTTTTATCCAATAAAGGAAAGGGTGGAAAGAACAGGAAAGACCTTTTGAAAATTTTCTTGAATTCGGGGGGTAGGTTATGAAAATGTAAGGTATTAGCCCCCTTTTCCATCCGTAGTTATCTACGGGCTCTTATTTGCTTGATCACTTGGAAAATGCTTTGTGTTTGTGTATGTTTGCAAATATTTTGAAAATGCCTAAGTACAACAATTTTGCAATGATTCTCGTATCGTTGAGAATGTATATAAAATGTTCATTTTGAAAATATTTGGAGTGTTTGGAAAGATGTTTGAAAATGCCAATGTAAGGCGATTTTGTAATGATTCTCGTATCATTGAGAATGTATATAAAATGTTTATTTTTGAAAAGTGTTTTGAAAATATTTGTTTTGAAAGTGTGAGGTGTAATGATTATTTTATTTTGTGAGCAAGAAATTACGAGCAATCTACCTACTCAAAGTCTTTGTTCTTTTCCTCCTCCCTTAGATAATGTCATCCTACCATTAGTTGATAGAGATCCATATCATTGGATGTGAGGGACAAGCGTGAGTCGTCGTACAGTCATAGAAGACAACTTTGTAGTATGCTTTAGCAATTGTGGTAAGGGACTAAGATCGTTTACCGAAGGCAACATCGAAGGGTCATCGAGGGACTATGATCTTTTAATCGAGGGTCTTTACTAAAGCATCCTACGTTCGAGGGACATGACTGTTTATATCTGAGGAAACAAGCAAGGTTTACCCTAGAGATACATGTGTGCAAAGTGTGTTTGATTTAATTATTTATATTGGATTAGGGTTATCTAATGTTTGATTTTAAATCTTTCCATACAAACCCTAATTACTAACAATAATAAAGAAAGCGATAAATTGCAGAATTTAAATGTCCTATGCTATTACAATGCTTTGAGAAAGAGGGGAGGAAAGCAATAAAGCCCTAATTATCTATTACAAACCATTTACATAATAATGCGAAATAATAAAATACGCAAGAATGTAAAGAAAATAGGAATTATTTTTGTGGTTTTTTGATGGACAAAGATTTGGTAACTGGCCTAACTAAAGTAATATAATTACAAGAGAAGTTAATTAATTATTTAACAAAACCTAAAATCTAAGTTAATGGAAATTAAGAAGAAAAATCAAACCTAAGTCCAATAATTTATTTATAAAATAATTTTAATATTAATGACAATTTGAAAAAAAATGTATTTTATAGTGTAAAAAATGACAAAATCTAGTTCTAAATATTTTAATTAACATAATAAAATAAATTGTTTAAATTAAATAAAATCCAAAACTATTTTTTTTTGTGATTTTATGATTTTAAATATAATTTTGACAAAATAAAAATGAATTAGAAAATAAAAAGTTAATTAAAAAAAAGAAATAAAATGTTGGGCTTGTGGTGTTGTAAAAGTAAAATGGGGGTGAAAAGTAGTGAAAACATCTTCGCCCAAGATGCATTTTTGTTTGAATCAGAAAATCAATAAAAAATAAAAATATATATGGGCTTGCGCATTATAAAGCAAATAGGGGGTGTTAGGAAGCAGGAAGAATTGGGCCCAAGGCCTGGAGGCCTAATGTTAGGGTGCTGGAAATTAGAAAGAACAGAATAAAAATATGAAAAATGCAAAAGGGTACCACTGAGGCTCGAACCCAGGTCCCGAGTAACAAGTGACTTAGCACGCGCATGTTCTACGACTGGGTGGCTATTTCATTCGGTCATTATACAACTTGCATTAAATTTAAAATAAACCCATTCCTGATTATACTCCATCTTCTTCCTCGCG